GTAATTGAAATTCTGAAAGATAAACAATAGCATCGAAACAAACATAGCAAGAAAAAGGGCAAGTGTGAGGTTGCCCTTTTCCTTCGGTGTGAGGTTATCAAAAAGTAAAAGGCATGCAAAACCTAAAATGTGAGATGGTAAACATGCACTAATAATAATGCAATTAGGATAGAAGAGCACTGGTGTTGAGGACAAATAGTCTATCCGGATGCATTCGTAAGAACAATTTGAGAGACAGCGTTACTGAACAAATAAGGTAACCATACAATATTACTATGTAAGTGAGGTAAGCAAAATCAAAATATAAGCAATAACAGTTAGATAATATTGTCACTCAGAATTGCCATAGAGTGTTTTACATTTGCTGGGTCGTTAATATTGCAATTACAGATTTTTATCGCAGAGTTTTGAATATTTCTTTGACTTTCGAAGAACTTACGTACAAATTTACAGCAAACACAAAAGGAACAGCATAAAGAAAATATAAGATATTACATCGTTTTTAACGCTGTAAAATCTCCTTAAAAAAATTGTACGTTTTTCGTGATAGCTTATGAAACATGCATATGAGAGATACATATATGTTTCAGATACATTTAATTTGTTTGGGTGTCGACATTCTAATTTGTTCTAATGAACATAAAATCATACATACTGAAAGCTTAGTGCGAACATTTTACATAAATTCTTTACAAATAGGTCATCGGAATTACAATTATGGCGCCGTCTGGTTGAGTTAGAAAAAGCTTTGCATGTCAAATGATCATCACGATTCCTGTCAGACATTAATATTATTTACTGTTTTATAGCTTCATTTCATTCTAATTTAATAACACCCCCAGCTCCAACAGTCTCCTCTGGAAGACTCTAAAATCTATCGAAAACGGCATCACAGGCCAAATCTCACAATAACTTTCTCAAAATATGGCATCTTAATATTCTTTCACTGCATATGTCCTTGAACAAGTGACCAAAGATGTCTCAGCACCAAATCAGAATTCGAGAATGAGTTTTTTTAATACTGGAGCATCGATCTATGGGAATAGAACACCGGATCCCACCCCTGGAGACGGAGCAAGGGGGCCTCGGCGCCAGGCATTCTTTTCCCCCTCTCACCCGTCATGTTCCAAGACGTCCCCTTACAGATATTACGTGAAGCCTGTTTGCTTGAGAACAGTAGTGATAGGCGAGAACACAGAAGTTTATCGATTTTGAAGCAAGTAGGACAACGTAGTTTGAGGCGATACCTCTCAACCCTGTGGCATAAAGGTTACAGGCCCTAATTCTATAAATCACTTAAGTGTTGTTGGAATGTTAGTTATGTTTCAATTAGTTTTGCAGAATATGGAATTTGTTGTATTTATGTTGCAACAAGGGCAGACATAAATGCATCCACAAGCAGAAACATACTCAATTCACGAATGTACGTATCTCAAGTTCGATTTCAAAACAATAATTGTATTATTGCTGACGTACCAAAATGAGATTACTATTATTATTACATTAATACCAAAGTAAGATTAATATTATTAGTATACATTATTATGAAAATGTGACCAAAATGAGATTACTATTATTATAACAATTACCAATTAAATAAAGAATTTTAAAAGAATATCTAAACGAAATCATTTGATATTAAGTAAGAAAGAGAAATGCTTCTGAATAGTTTCATGGTTAGCGCATATTCAAAGCGGTATTTTTCTATGAAGAATTCTTTTATTTTAGTCACACCAAGTTTCTGTTTATAGAGGGTTGTTTACACATTTTTCAAAATTTCAATTTCGAAAAAGAATCGGGGAAAAAAAAGCAAATGTTTTGTAAAACATTTCTGGCGATAGCCAAAAAAAGATACTTATTTGAAATGAGAAATATCGTCTGCTACATTTAAATTTATTCTTCTTTCAAAATGTCACAAGTAAACTAGCTGTGGATTGAAGAATGATTTTGCGTTTTACGAAGCGAAATATTCCTATTCAGTAATTCAAAAGCATTGTGAAATGCATGATATTAAAATTTCTAAGTGCAAAATACGCAGCATTATTAATCGGAAAGAGAAAATTCGTCAGTCACTACTTCTACATGAAAAGAAGAGTCATGAAAAGTATACCCAAAAAATGTATATACTCTTTCTAATATTTCTAAAGTTAAATCATTGATAGCAAGACAAAATCCGCCGACGCGGAAATCAAAATCTTTAAATACATCTGTAGCAACAGTACTTTTGAATAAAAAATATAAATCAAGATTTACAACTTAAAAAAAGCTGAAAAACATAATGTGCACCAGCTTTTGCCGATGCATGTGCCTCATTGCAGAAAAATTTGTAGAAAACTGGAGGAAAATTATTTAGCAAGAGATTAATGGAAATGCGTTGTGACACTGGAAGGAAGCGTGAATTTCTTTAAATGATTACAACAACAACAAAAAAAAAGTCTATTTATCATCGAAAACGAAGAGAAAAAAAAATGTACAAACCTAGTTCCGCCAATGCAAAGGTTGTTTCTTACAACGGAAAATTAAAAATAAGAAGAATCAGAATATGTGTTAAAATTAACTCAATGTATTTAATGACAGGAAGTTTTACGGCTGATATTTAGAAAAGAATTCCATTTCTTTGTCCCAATGACTTTCAGAGAGGGAAAATTCAAGACAAAGCAGCCGTTATAATTCAAAAACGTACCACTGCGTTCCTTGAGAAAAATGGAGACTGATACAGGTATTGCATATGCACCTTTTCAAAGCATTTCTGCAAAGTCTCCTGACGTTTCATTTACGGATTATTATGTCACCGGTCTCTTGAAAAGAGAGTTCTTTGTAAGCGCAAACCCACCACGATTTATGGAATCTGCAAAGTAGAGAAAAGGAATGGAAATGAATCTTCCTGTAAATTTTATGGCAAGCCCTTCCATCGTGGAAATCACTATGCAGAATTATAGTCCCGAAAAATAGGCTATCTGATCAAATATTTAAAACAATGCTTTTTACTTTTAAAGATTAAATAAACGGCTCGGAAATCGTTCTAAAAATGTGTAACCATCCTACAGTTGCATAATCGGTGCTTGGTTTTTTTTTTTTTTTTTTTTTTTTTTTTTTTTTTGCAGCTCGGCAGTCTCTGGGGTTTCTAAATTCTGCTAATCGACGCCTTCGTAAATTCTAAAACTTTACCGCCCGTTGCGGTCGCATCAGCTGTATCGGCTCTTTTGCTGGCTTTGAGCAAATATGACAGAACGTTGGCACTCTAATTTCGACAAGTCAGAATTTTCAGTACGTTGAACTAAATGTCAAAATTTAAAATTCGCACAACTTCCCTTTATACATCGAATTTTTGATTAGTCAGCTTTTTCTCTCTGGTCGAATTACTTTGGTCTTATCGAAACAATGAGGTAAAGATTAAATTTAGATTTTTAGAAGGGCTTTTATTTTGTATGTTACAATATTATTTACATAAAACAATTAAAAGTGTTGAAATTTTTATATAACTTCAAATAGTATATAAGATACACTGAAACCTAAACACAATTAATAGAAAATTCGTCGGTACCTTAATAAACGTTCCCGACACAAGGGTTATAAACCATAACACAAGGGTTATAACCTCCCCCCCCCAAAGATTAATATCAATTATAGGAAATGATGCTTATCTGTTATCGTGATTCTTATTATAAATGTATATAGATTCTTACTTCGTATCTCATTCTATATTTTATATTGCAGGAGGATAATAAAATAGAACTAACTTTTTCCCGCAAAAAGACGACTCATTGCTTTATCTTTTAAACTTTTCCTTTAATGTCTAAGTGTTACTGAAATTGCAACATTCATGTTCTTTTTTTAACAAAAGCTTCCATTTCATTTTAATGAAATTGATCTTTCTGAAGGTTTAAGTTAAAACTTTCACATATTTTAAAGTTAGAATTCGGAAGATTCGAATGACAAGATTTGGTTTATTTGATTATGGCAAAGAACTCGAGGGCTATCTTTTAAGAAGGGAATCCTCCGTGGAGGACTTTCTAAGGGAAACTGACTCGTATACACTTTATTCATAGAAAAAAAAAAAAGTCACGCAATCTCCCATGCAGCCAACCTGTTCGCCTAGATTCAAATTGCCAGTGTTTAGCAACTTTATCACTCAGCCATTGGTAGGCCTTCCAATGACAAAGAAAACACTGATTCAAGTTTTGAATCTCGAAACTTTTACTAAGGTTTGTAGTGTTCGAAAATCCAAAATGACCCATTCCTAGTATTTAGCAAACTATGAAGTGACGTTTTACCTTTAAACTTTATCTAGATTGGTTGTAAAAAGAGCATTATTTCAAAAGTATAGAAATTATTCATCATGCAGACTTTAATTAGAACCAATGACTTACCAGGGTTTCAGATTTTCCTTGCATTAACACGTTCTTTACTTTCAATTTTCTGTGTTAGCATTTTGGTTCATGTCTCATTTTTCGTTTTTTAGATATATGGCGGACACTAGGCATTTTTAGGCTTTCGCCACTTCTAAGGCCAGAAGTGGTGGTCCTTTTATTATGGAGGTACCTAACAGGGGGGACATACAATTTTACATCCATGCCTTCTCCAGGATTCGAACTCAGGCCCTTCGTTATTGCAGTTGGCTCCCCTAAACACTATACCGTCTGGGCGGCTCGTTTTCCATATTAATGGTACAGCGTGGCACAATAAATTGAACCAGTTAATTGAATTACATGTTGTACTGCATAATGCGATAATGTGAATTAGCGTATAAAGCAACAAACTGAAATAACTTGAGTAATGCATGATTTGATTTAACACTTTTTGATGATTTATACTGCATTTCGATAGATGGCAGCACGTGCATCCTTTAACTAAATGCCATGTGATAAATGATACCCTGCTTAACCTGCCCTTTGCATTTTGATTACATTTCTCACTCTTACTTACATGGTATAGTTATAAAATAAAATGCAAATGCTACAAAACTTATGATTTTATTTATTCTCTTGCATTTTTTCTAGGGTCCCAAAAGAGCTCCACCAATCTCAATGTGAACCAGCATCCACATCTTGTCGAATACGAGTCAGAACCCAAGGCATATCCTCGTGGTTCGTGGCGTCACAGCAGCAGTAGTAGCAAGGATATATCGCCGGATAATTCATCGACGGATAACGAGCTGTGGCTGTCGGTTGGGGAGGATATAGCAGCTCATAAGATATTCCGGACAACGCCGGAGCATTTAGACGGTCGTTCATCCTCCAGGAGTAGTATCAGCCCACCGTCGCCACCTATGCTATATTCGCAACATCAAAAGAGAGGTAAGGGAACAAGTTGGCTTGGATGGAATTAATCAGAGTATGGAGCGGATATGTAGTGAAAGAGATCTGTGGCACATAAAGCTCATATTTTATTTATAGTGAAGCATCTATGAGATTAATTCTGGACAGGAAGGAACTGGGGAGGAGATCTAGATGCCCCACGATCTATTTTATCTGACAAGTTTTTTTTTTATGTGACTCGAGCGGCTTCTCCTTAAATAAATTTGCTTTCAACTTGAGAAAGAAGATATGTCGTTGCAGAAGATTTCGTTAAAATAAAATCTTATTTATTTTGCAGTTTTTTGTTAGATTTGTTTGATAGTCTCTTGAAGTACTTAGGCAATGCAGGTCTTACCAATCATGCAATACAGGAAAGATTAGTATAATTTCCAAGCACGAAGGATGTTATACCATCAATATAAAAGTCACGGGCATTTTTACTATATTCGGTTCAATGTCTAAATTTCTTTATTTGTATTAGTTGGTTGGAATCCATTAAAAATTCCGTAAAAATAAAATGCCCTGAATATTTTTAATTAAAAAATATGCTTATACAGTATTATAATGTATATGTTATTAAAATTATAATCATTAATAACCTTTCAAAAATATACTATAAAATGCTCAGACACAATATAATCCGTATTCATCCAGCCACAAGTGGGTGGGACACCAGAAGTTCACCGTAGGTTTTGTACGGGAATAGTTCTACCGCACTAACTAGTCATCTCCGTACCATTGTTGAGGGAGAACACCGCGAGGGCGGTCGGAGAGTCTCTTACACCTCTTCCTTTACCGCAATCCACTGGGGAGTGCTGTGTATTTTGAATGCCCCTTTGCCGCATAGACGCTATACCCTTACAAACATCCATGCCTTCTGTAGGATTTAAACCCGAGCCCATCAGTACGGTAGTCAGCTTCAGTAACCAATACACAGTCTTTGCGGCTGCGTATTCATCCAATAATATTACAGAATTAAATGAAATTACAAGTTTTACTGATATCTGAAATAAAAGGATAAGCTCCATTCTTGAAAGAGTATGGTCTTTGTGTAAGGGGGAAGTTCGAAGAGACCGTCATCGATACTGTATTTCCTTCAAATGTCGTAGGAAGAAATATTGGGAAAAGTCTAAAGTAAGGCCGTCTTAACGCATGGGCTCCTTAGAAACTTGTTTGAGTGTCCTTCGAGCAAAGGGAACCCATCCTAATCCATTTATATTTCATTTGCATTTCACTTTTGCGCGTGTTATCGCAGGGATCCCAGCACAGTCGAATACTACCTTACCTTGACGCATTCGAATACTACCTTATCTTCAAAACCAAGATACGTAATGAAAATCGGGTTGACTTATCTTTAGTGCGTAGCTACAGGTAAAGAAGGTACGTAATGCTTAAGAGACCACACGATTTAAGGGCCCATTAGTTTTTTATTTTTGAATATTCTAGGAGTAATAACAAATTGATAAATTTGTTTCCGAATTCATCGTTGATATTTTGTATATGCAGATTTAATTTTTGGTGAATAAATTATGTTATTAATTATAAAAAAGATTTATATCTTCTTTTCGAATAACATAAAAATTAGAAATAAAACTGAATGCCGCATCAGCTTATATTGTCTGTTGTTAATTCCTGTGCCTGAGTGATGAATTCTTTTGTTTACACGTATTGAGCCGTCTGAGGTATAAGTAGTATTGTTCTCAAAATAGACATGCGCAATCTTACCAAATGTATCCTGTTTTGTTTGTGATAATCATTTTGTGTTTGTTTTTACTGTGTAAAAAGGAAGTATTGTAATCGCGAACATTTTCCGATATCATATTTCACCGAAAATATCGATTTGCAATCGGCAGCACCAAAAGTATATAAATAATATATATATATCCACTCTTTACTCGGCTCAGTGAGCTCAGTTTCTTTATTATTATATGTTTGTAAATTATGCATTTTTTGTTTTAAAACTGATTGAATTATGTTGTTCTGGTTAACACTTTTATGCCTTTAGTTTACCTGTATGCAATAATTATGGAATTATCAACAACTTAAAAGCTTTTTAAGTGCAGCTAAGCCTAATTTCTGATTTCCATGGCAGCCATGTTTGTTTACATTTGAAACTTGCCAAAATAGTGGATTTGTAGCCAATGTAGAGAAACTAAACTTCGCAACAACAAAATAACGTCTTCTTTTATTATTGCGAATTAAATTATGCTTAATTAATTCTGAAATTGTCATTTAAGTTATTGGCTTGTTTTGGCATGGAAACTGCATTTTTAATTGAAATTTTTTTAAAAAATTGTTTTAACTGTATTTGGTGTTTTATGTTTTTCTATAGCTTTCAAATTTTAATGAAAATATTCTGAATTTTTACATATTTTTGCCTTGCCGCTAGGTGAGAACTGAATTAATTAGTAGCGCATGCGCATTAGGTAATCGGCGATGAATCATCTGCTAAAAACTGTTTCTTTTTTATTTGTTTAATTTTTTTTATACATCGTTTTAGATTTATTATAGTATTTGAATAGAACTTGTGGTAATTCTTCAGATGATATAATTTTTGTGCACTTTGAATTATAAAGTGAATGTTAATGCTGTTAAGTAAACGTAGCGCTGAAGTGTCGCTATGGTAAATAATTGTAGTGAACTTTAAGGAGTGCATTTATTCACTTGTGGTTTATGCGCTATTGGCGAAGTAGATTGAATTCAAAATTCTTTAACTATTATGTTCAGTATGTTTAAATAAAATGCAAGAAAATTGCGTATAATTTAATATTCCGTACAAGGAAGTCATGTGGTGTACACATCAGACTTTTATATTTGAGCATAAGAAAATATTAATAGCAAAAAAATTGCTGTCACAAACCAAATAGGCTAGTTGTGGTTAGATTGCGCATGCGCATTTTACGAAAGAGGCAACCAGAACAACTAAATGCCTATGTTTTAGTCAGTCTGCTCTATTTAGTTCTACAAACTCTTAAGAACTGCTTTATTAGCAGTTGGTTGGAAAATAAAACTTTACGGTAAGAAATATTAAAATAATTATAACAATCGGTAAATATGTATTATTAGTTAAAAATGGATATGGAAAAACGAAACAGCGGACCTCAAAAATCAAAAGAACGAGCAGGAAGAAGTAAGAAAAAAGCTCCCATTATTAAAACTTGGTTAGTAAAGCATCATACCCAGAAAGAGGCTCTTCAGTAGACAGCATCTCTGCCAATAAGATTGAACAGCCTGAACAGAAAACTACATTATCAGCTGAAGTCGCCAATACTAGTAAGGCTGATAATAAATACTCGTATGAAAAAGAAACAGTTATGTGCACAGGAGTAAATATAGATAATTAAGTAGGTAAAAATATTACTGATGATATGATAAGATTTCCCATTAATTGTGATGAAAATGAAAATACTCTTCCGGGACCATTTTCAAAAGATACTATAGGGATTATTTTAATTTTCTAATAGTTATTTTTAAGTTTGAAACCCTTTCCTTTAAATTCTTGTTTCCCTCCTACAACTCCCTGCCAGAATGAGTTTTTAGTATCGCGTTTTATGTAAATGAGGTAGAACCAGTGTTTAATGGGAAGTTCAGTCACTTCCGTAGAATAGCTCAGAAGTTCTCAGTAGAGCGTGATCTGCTAGCGGCCCGCGCCATTGCTTTAAGGCTATCTTATTATACGTTCGCCGTAGTCTTACGTGCCTGTTAATATTCACCATTAAGTTACTCTGTTAGTTATTTCTATATACGTAGCTTCGGCTAAATTTTTAGTAGGTTAGAATTTAGTTTCTTATTGTCTATCTTAAGTTAAAGCCCAAGAGGGGGCTTTTCTGACAGCCCTAGAGGTACCATCTGTCAAATATTTCTTTGGATGAATAAAAGGCTGTTTTAACCCTTCCTTGGACTTTATCTTCTTAGTTGTAAGAAGATCAGCGAGTAGTGGCTAGACACTTCCTTGAGGTTCCAGTATCAAGAACACTAAATTAACTAGAACTTTAAAATACAAAGCAAGAAAATAGGCATTTTAGTGAAGCAAATTTTACATCCAATGACGAAATATGGACAAGAGCCACGGATTGTGTTACCCTAAATTATTATTATTATTATTTTCCATTTTCCAATGGCGGGCACTATGTCGGCATCGGCCACTCCTAAGGCCAGATGGGGTGGTCTCTTTATTATGGAGGCACTTAATAGGTGGGCCACATTTGCCTCATATGAAGGGACAGACAATTGCATCCATGCCTTCTCCGGGATTCGAACCCGGGCCCTTCGGTATCGCTGTCAGACACCATTATGCCGCCTGGGCCGCTACTTTAAATTATTGAATACTGGATACTGCAAACCTTGTTGGTTGTTTTCTAACTCTGACATTTAGTTGGCATTCAGGTATTTAGAGATAGGAAAATTTAACGGTGAGAATTAAAACTCATAGTTTTTTCAAATCTCATGTAGAAGCGAGCGCTGTGTATAAAGCATGGGAAAAAATAGATGATAGATAGAAAATAGACTATCGATAGAGATCTCGAAGGACAAATTCTATGTGAGGCAAATTTTTGGAAAACAGTTTTAAAACAATCATTTGACATTACACTTATGCTGTCAAAAAGAGCGGTTTTTTTTTTTTTTTTTTTTTTTTTTTTTTTTTTTTTTTTTGTTTTTTTTTGTTGTTGTTGTTGTTTGTTGTTTTGTTTTTGTAGGCATAGTGAAGATATAAATACTAGTTATAATGGCAATTTTTTTATCGCAGGTTAAATTATTAACTAAATATCTAAATGTTATGAAATAAATTTTTGAAATGCCAGTAGGAATGGCTATGCTTCGTTATATGCTAAGGAAACTGAATTAATAATAACTTAGTAGATATTTATTCCAAAATATTGTCTCTGGAATTTACAATTTACGAATGCACTACAACTGTGGAAAGATGGCTTTAGTGAAAATATGATCATTCCAGAATTTGCGAACTTAATGTTAAAGAAAAACCTTTCACTAGAAATCGACTTCTGTGAAATGTATACAGTTTTCTACAAAGCTTTAATTCCGGTACATCTTAGTTTTTAGGAGAAATCATAATTCTAGGCGGAGCGCACCGGAGCCCTGAATATGATCGCTCCGGCACTTCTTTTATATAACTGAGTAACAAATTTCAGTAGAAATTTGATCTCGAAAATTTTATTTTTTACAATAAAATATTAAAAATTGCTTATTAAATTTTAATTTATCTCTTTACATGTTATTTAATTTTTAATTATTTAATCACCTTAATCTTGAATTATTTAAATAAATAATAATTAATTATTTTTATTTAATTAAATAATATTATTAAGTAAATAATAATTGATAAATGTTAATTAATTATGAAATAATTTGATAATTATTAACTATTTAATTTTAAAATTATTAATGATTTTAATAGTCATTTTATTTACTATTTATTTACTTTTGTTCTTTGTTGATGGTCTTCCATAGGGTTCCGGCATTTCTAACTTTAGAAATTAAGCCTTGGTTTTCTACTTTTTTCAATGATTCCTGTAACTGTTGCTACAGCAGAAAAGTCCTTTTCAAAACTAAAAATTGTTAAAGATTACAGGAGAGGAGGGAAAAAAAAAACTGAAAGCTTTCAGATTTTGCATCACGCCCAAAGGGGCGTTTCTTTAACGTTTTGTGTGTTACTTTTATTTATTAAATATCACGTTTTTCGCAATTAAACCATAAAATTGAGTTCAACAGCAATATCGCAAAATAATTTTAAAATAAGCATATCTTTAGAATTTCCGATACGCAGTCTTGCGCGCTGGAGATAAAAATGTTTTTTTTTTTTTTTTTTTCTTTACAGTATTGCTATTGCTCGCTTTGAAATCTTTGAGTTCCTTAATCAAAAATTCGTTAAAGTTTTACAAAATATGAAATAGATAATAAAACAAATTCTAAATTCCAAATATTCGCTTCCAGATGCCCATATTCGGGTGGAAACGTACGTTATTCAAAATTTGAGGGCTCTAGGTACCGCTGTTTTGTCACAATAAGAAAAACATACACGCATTTATGTAGATTCTTCATTATTTAATTTCTTTAAATATAACACAGTGCTCTAATATTTGGCGGCAACAATTTAAAAAGTGAATCGACATTTATAGTGAATCAACTCAAAATGCCAAAACGAAATGAATAGTCCTTCTGGGCAAATTACCCCGTTGGGCTAATAAGACTAGACGAATACGACTAAGCTGTCTTTCGCTTTTGCTGTTGAATATGAAAAGGCAAGCAAAATGGACCTGAAAAATATAATACATATTTTTTCAGCAATAAAAGCTCGTATATGACCGCCGCTCTGATTATGGATGTCTTAGATTTCGGGCTTTAGTCTGAATACCGTCGAAACGGAACAACCAGTCGTATTCTGTGACCTATTCGATTAAGAGTGACTCTCGTATTATCTTTTCGACCATTATAGAAATCGGCGAGTCTGAAACTTTTTCGGCAGTCGTTTAAGAGCTAGTAAATTCAAGATGGCTGAGGTGACGGATTCCTTTTTGCTAAGTGCCATGGATCTCATTATCTCTTAAGATTTGCGAAGAATTGGACTGTTTCCTGATCAAAGAACGCATTTGATGCTGATGATCCTACTTTTATCGCGTTATTTCGATTTTCAAAGTCCCCCATAACAATGTCCCTTATCAATGCCGTCACGCTTGGCCGGAATATCGACATCAGAGCCTTAATCAATAAGTACTGAATTAAGGGTAAGGAATAAGTCGCTTGTTTTGTAAAAGAATTGTTTGGATGTTTATTTAACATCTCAGTCTATTTTTTTTAAATAAAGAATTCGTTAATTTTAGCAAAAATAAAATTTGGTGTTTCCTGTTTCATATTTCCAATTCAGGAAATACAAGTTTTTAACTTAAATTGTAAAAGTGAAATTTTAAAACTAATGTCTGTTTTAATGTACTTAATTTCATGTTTTAATCTGTAATTCTTCAATTTTGAGATTTTAGGCTGTAAATTATAATGTATTGTCCTATACTCCTGTTTTAGTTTTCAGTGTATAGAAAGTAATACATTGAAAAATGCAATAAAGAATGTATAGTATACACTGAAATTACGCACATACTAAAATTGCGAATCATTGCAGATGTAACTTGATTGGTATTTTTCCTTCTTTTCAATTAGATATGCTTATTTAGATTTCTTCTGTACAGTTCTGTCGTTAATGAATTTTGTTTATAGTTTTCGTTGATAATAAATTCTGTTAAAACGCAGTCTTGAATTGCTAAAACATTAAATAAAACTCAATTATTTGCCTAAAATAGATTTTCATTTCATAATTGTCTATGCTAATATTATTTAAGAGCCCACAATTTCTAACTAGGTCACTGATTATCTCGGCGTATTTTTGGCCAGAACTTCTAAAAACCGACATAAAATTTAAAGGGTTGAGTGAATTAGAAACGTATAATGAGACATCGCTGCAATTATAATTTAATTAAAGAAAAAAATTCCCCCTGTTCATGCATTTTTTTTTTTTTTTTTTTTTATAAAATGCAAAATATAAAATATTATATATCTCCGAACACAGTTTATGTCCAGGGTGGGATTTTGCTGAAAAAATTCAGCTAAATTTAAAAATCTATTCCTAAGCCGGATTTCAAAATCGTCCAATAAATCCAACTGTACATATCACCAAAAGTTTGAATTATCATCTGAAGTCAACTAGACCTAACATGGAAGCTTAAGTTATGTACCAATTCATCTTCATCTTCCATTAAAAAAATACAAGCGATAGCACTGTAAAAAGAAAAGGCTGTGTTCGTGCCAATAATTTCTCTTTTTCAGCTCTCCCAAATTTTGAGCATACATAACATTCCATAATTTTGCAGTAGCTGTGGCGAGTTTTATTTTGGACCAGTCCGCCAGTGGTTAGTGACATTGACTGCCGTACCGAAGAGCCCGGTTTCGAATCTCGAAGAAGGCATGAATACTTGTATGCGCATAGTGTCTGAGCGGCAATGAGACACTCATACACGGTGATCAGAAATCCTTCCGAGAGACTGGAAAAGGAAGAGAGATGAAGACCCTGGAACAGGTCTTCGGAGTGTTCTCCCTCAGAACTCCAAACTGAGGCGAAAATTTAACACTACCTCAGTCATTTACGTCACTGCAGAGAGCTATAGAGAACTACATAGAATTACCTGTAGTGCTGGCCTAACTTCTACATTTATCTGTTGTCCGTTATGATAATTAATAAAAAGTCACAAGACCTTTTCTTCTCTCGCTTTTGAGAATAAAATATGTTTATTCATTTCTACTGTATAATGACAGATTTCTCTACTCAAAAGAACTTCATAATCTGGTATTTGAAAATTAAAAGTTGCATATCTCACCATTGCTAAGCAAATGCTAGGGGACGAAACTTTAGACAATATTATCAACAATAAAGCGAATGATAACCATGTTTATGGTAATATGGAGGACGACGACAATCACCTGCACTCCCTTCAAGCAAAAACTTAAAATAAAAATAATATTTTTTCAAAAATATTAATAATATTAAATAAAATAATATTTTTCGTAAATATAAAAATATTTTTTCATTACTATAAATCATTTTGAATTCATATCTAAGTTGACCCCAAAATACAATAGTAAAACAACTTGCTAAAAATTCTTGGCTTATGTATGTGATATTCTGTACATTTGCATCTTTATATCTTTTCATTTTCATCTAGTTCATTTAAAAAATTATTCCATTCTTTTCAATTCTAAATTACTTTCTCTGTTTAATCAAAAACTAGTTCCTTATTAAGCCATAATTTAATAATTACTTTAAATTGTGGTTAGAGTCTGTGCATAAAATAAATAATTTATTAAGTTAAAACATGCGTATAATACATACGTTCAGAAATTCCAGCATCAAAGGAATAGTCACCAATGTATAGCTGAATGAGAGAGTGTTGAGTGTTCCACCTAAACACTGACTTTTACCTGTAAGGTAGTAAATCCTGTAAAAATCTTGATTTAACCTGGTAGATCATTTGCTGTTGCTTTCAAATAAAAGGATCTTCTACACATCACTTGAACTGATTATTTCCGTCATTATTATTTTACTGGAATGGTAATATCAGGTGGATTTGCATATTGTAAGCAGTGAGGGTCAATCAATGTGAATAGATTTTACAAAATTCCCCACGATACTACATTTATTGAACACCGTGCAAATACAGCAATTAATATTTCTGAAAATATTTGCTTAATATCTACATTTTACATATTTTTCCTACAGTTTCGGAAGACTCCACTGGATCTGGCAGGCCAATCTTCTTTGCAAGCTCTCGACGTGGTTCCAAAGGATCCAACCAAGATTCGAAAAGCGAAACTTCTTGCTATTCCCAGCAGCAACGGCATTCTATAAACGTTATTGAAACACACTCTACAAATCGAGATGAATTTTCCAGAAAGAGCTCTTTGACACACTCCGAGGAAAGCGGCTTTTTCAGGAGGGATTCTAAATCTGGAGGTTCTAGCAGTTGGAGGACAGACCAGGAATCAAGTTCGGCAACAACTAGCAGAGGAGAGAAGTCATCCGCTTCAATGGAAGAGGTAAGATTTTGAATTGTCCTCTTCATTGATGCATTACCAAATGCGAAGAGATGTTTGACTGTTCCCAGGGCCCCAAATGCGAAGAAATGTTTCACTGTTCCCAGGGCCGGCACTACATTTTTTGCCGCTCCGTGCAAACGCCGCGAATACAAAATTCTGTCGCCGGTGCGGCCGCACCGATTGCATATGCTCTGACGCCGCCCTGACTGTTCCTCATGCATGAGGATAGCACTGTTACAACTACATAAATATTTTGAAAGTTATAAAAAAAAACATTACCGAAATTTCTTTTTAAGTGTAAATGTTCACTTAGATTTCTGAACTATCATAATAAAACTGATGCAATGATACGACTTGACTTTTGTAAAACATTTTAACAACAGTTTTTGCTTACAAAACTTAATAATCTTCTGTTGGCCATTTAATCAGCAGCATAGGTATACATTATAGCAGTAAAAATGAGTGCAGATTTGTCCAAGAAAACATTCTAATCTTAACATATAGAAATTTTTGACAATTTAAGTATTGACAATTTTGATCTATTTTCATAGCGAAATAGCTACTGAAAATATAGCAGCATTTAATGAAATACTATAAGGCAGTAGTCTCAAACTGGCGATTCTCGAAGCCGTTTTGGCGCACTAATAATTTTGAATTATGTATTTATTGCAAATATAGTCTTAGATTTCAAGGTTTTAGTTATTTGATTTCCGAGTTTATGTATTTTTATTGCCACTCACTTTAAAAACGGACATGAATGACGCACTGGAAAATATCTGAATGGAGCTACTTAATTTACGTGTGATATAAATCTTATTCAAAGATTTGAAGATAAAGATATTAACTTTTATTCGTACTTGTCAATAAATAAATCAGTTACGAATTTTTACTCTAAGAATAATAGCTTTGTTTGGGAATAATACGTAGACACCTTTTTTTTTTTTTTTTTTTTTTTTTTCAAGAAATAATTTTTGATAATAGAAGAGCCCGTTTGACCGATGAGCATTTAAAAGCAGTGATAAACATACTTTCTAATAATATCTTTCCTAAGAGTACGAACTGTATCAAAATCGAAGCGATAGCAAGTGTTTAAAGTATAAAAAGAAGTATAGAAGTTTAATTACTTTCATACCAACATGTCTATTTTTATTTATGCATTAAAGAAAAATTTAGCATATAAGAGAAAGAGATTAGGCTATTACTATTTATTCTCGAGTTCATCCTACTTCGTAAGTTTTCTCTGAAAATTTTTTTTATAATTTTTTTATTTTTATTTTAAATTAACGCAAGTAATTTAAGGATTAATTAAACACGTTTGAATTATTTCGAAGAAATGTTAGGAACCAAACATTTAACATTTGAATCATAAAGTGTAACCAACAAAAGTGCCTTATAAAAGCCAAATTTAGATTTCACATAAAAATAAGTATAAATTTGATTTTTTTTCTCCTTTGAGATATAATTAACATTGTTTATGTGTGTTTTGAAAAAATATTAAATAAGCTAAATTTAAAACTTTTTTAAAAATATTTTTAAATTTGTTTATAAAATTTATCACTTCGTTAGAAAAATTATGATCCATCAGGTACAGGTAGAAGTGAGTAGGGCACCAGAATTTCATCATTGATAGTACAGGCATAGTGCCACCATATTAACTCTGCAGATCTGCCCCATTTTTTGAGGTAAAACTACTCAAGGAGTGGTCCGAAGGTCTCTCACCTCTCTTTCCCTGTAAGGTATATTTTAATTTTATAAAAGTTATTTTAATTTCACTTTCCTAGCAATTTTTATTTGCGGGTGTTTACCTTCAGGCTAAGTCTGTCTTGAAGCTGTTACGCTCGGCCGTATATTACGTGCAGTTTGATATTCGCCGGCTAGTTTAAATTAAGGGCCAATTAAGTTAGATACCTGTGTTTAGCTTCGGCTAAGCCTTTTTTAGTTTAGTTTCTTATTTCTTATTCTGAGTTAAAGCCCGAGTGGAGGCTTTGTTGTAAGCCCGAGAAAGGGGCCGACTGTTATTCTTATTTGAATGAAATAAAGGGTAGTTTAACCCTTCTTGAATTTACATCTTTAGTTATTTGAACTCAGCGATAAGTCGCTATACTGTTCACTAGTTTCCTCAACATTTATCTTAGGCAAAAGGAGTGAGGAGCTCTACACTCCTACCACCAACCTCTGGAGAGGACTTCCGGCTCAGTGTGTATTTTGAGTGCCCCCTTACCGCACAGACGCTATGCGCTTAAAACATTCATGCCTTCTCCAAGATTGGAACCTTTCGATACAGTATCGCGTTGCTAATTTTAGCCGGTCAGCTGTTTTCAGATCGGGCATTCGGTCCGCATGTAGTTTGAGTTTGAGACCACTGTTATAAGGCATCTCAGAGGTAGTTTGAATGGCGTATCAATATCGTAAATGCAAAGACATCCTTGAACTTAGACATCCTTGACAGAATAATACTTCTAGGTGATTTTCGCAGATTCTAATATCAGATGCAGAAAGAGCACGAAAAAATGAGTGCTTTTTTTCATTCAGTCAAACTGTTGTAATGAATTAACAAAATAATTAAACTTTATTCTTGGTAATTTTTAGTGAATAAATTTAAAGACTTAGATGTTTGTGTATACAAAGTAGTGTACAGGGTTATCCAAATTAAACTTCCCCAACTCAGAGGCCTGTGCAGAGTGTTGTATGGGTCATAATGTGATGAAATTTTAGAAACAGACACTTCAGATCATGCGCTCGAGATTTATTAAACAAAAAAAAAAAAAAAAAAAATTAGTACAAGAAGTTGCCGATAGGTAGCGCTGCAGATCAACAAGACATTCTACACATGTTCTATATGTGTGCTGTGGTTCTCCACAATTCTTGTTCCACAGCGGAACGAAAGTCCACATTAATTCCACGAACATGTCGAATAATTGCGTCTTTCAGCTGTGCCAAGGTTGCTGGGTGTTCTCGGTAAACCCGATCCTTTAAAAATCCCCATAACCAAAAGTCGCATGGTGTGAGATCAGGCGAGCGGGGAGGCCAAGCTGTAGGGAAACAGCGGCTTATCACACGTGCATCGGTAAAAGTTGCCCGTAACACCTGTTGAACGCCACGAAGAATATGGGGAGGTGCACCATCCTGCATAAATATCGTGTCCTGAAGGTGGCCACGTTGTTGCAGTTCAGGGATCACAAACGTCGTCAACATGTCCTGATACCGTTTTCCTGTGACAGAGCAGGTCTTGAACCCTATTGGAGTCACCTCTTCAAAAAAGTAAGGCCCAATGACGAATGTTGCAGTGAAACCGCACCATAGAGTAACCTTTGGAGGGTTCAAGAGCACTTGATGGATTGCGCGCGGGTTTTCACTTGCCCAAATTCGGCAGTTGTGCGTATTCACTTGACCATTCGGGTGAAAATGGGCCTCATCCGTCCAAAGGATGTTCCACGGCCAAGCAGCATCGACTTCCATTCTGGCAAGGAACTGCAACGCAAATGTTTCCCGAACTATAGGATCCCCGTCGGACAGCTGATGACGACTATGGATTTTGTAGGGAAAATAACCGAGGATTCGACGCATCACACGCCAGACGGTCGTTTGGGGCATATCAACAGCACGAGAAACAGTTGGCACACTGACAACACCATGTGGCGATTGGCTAGTGGGGGTCCACGAGCGCCAAAGCAACGTCCTCTACACGTGCAGATTCCACAACCTGTCGTCCTCTACCTGGTAAAATTACCAGCTGTCCCGTTCTTTCGAACTTCTTAATCATGTCTCGTAGAGCGCGTGGTGTCATAGGTCCTCGGCGTAAGATCTTCAGCCGACGGAATGCTCTTATCGCACAGGAGTTCTCGTCATTCTGGTAGAAAAGTTTCACTAACACTCTGCACAGGCCTCTGAGTTGGGGAAGTTTAATTTGGATAACCCTGTATTTGTAATGTATAATAGACGCAGTGAAGGAATATTCAGTAAAGTAATAGTAAAATAGGACAGAACAGCCAATTAGGGCATGCGATGTCGATTTACTGCACCATGATTTGTAACTACATTCGGTGGAAAGTAATGCGGAAGGAGTTATTGTTCAGAGCCCTGTCTTAGTTTTACTCTGTTCGCAAAATCTGGAAAGTAGAAGAATATGTCTACGACAACGGTTGGGAAAATAAATGCCGGTTAAAGACTTTTGTGGACACAGTGTGTACAAATTTTGGGTAAAAAATGACATTAGCTTTATACATTTCGGACAATAAAGTATTTTCGTGAGTGCCATTCGTTATTTGAATTTGAGCTTACACTTTGATATATACGGTTCTTTATTTAAAATGTCTATCGTATATCTTTTTACTGTATTTACTTTTCACACACTATTGAGGCCTCTTTTTTCCCATCCTTTCTCCAGCCTACCGAGAAACGTGTAGGGAACAAGATATGACCATATCTCTTTAATGGCTAATCGATTTATTTCGTGAAGAATTTTTTGTACTTGAATTAAATTCATGTCTATATGATTGAATGATTAATTGATTTAACTTTGCAACTAAATTTCCTTTTCATTTTCTGTATAAAATGCTTTCTTTGCTCTTTTCTTTTACGTTAAAAACGTATTATATAACTATGGATTATTTTTAATAGGTGTTGGAATCCCTTCTTGCCATACCCCCTTCGAGTTCCCGATCATCAAGCCCTACCTCTCCCCGTAGATCACGTGGCCCAGGAATGCATATGCCTCATCGTCAGTCATATCCAGGAATGCGAACGTTCCCAACGAGCACTTCAACTCAGGACGAATCTCGCTTTAAAGAGAGCGAGGAAAATAATCGTTAGTTATGTTTCTCGCTTCTTAGTGACAAAGGCATTTTAATTTATAAAGAATTAAACAACAGTATTTTCCTTAACATTCCAGAAACTGTCAGCACTAGCAGACCCGCTAGACCAAAATCTGCTCAATGCGCAAGCGATGATCAACGAGGTAAAGAAGATGTCAGCCAGTCAGGAAACGATCAGGGTAAGACCTTCGATGACCGCCTTAAATTCCCATCATTTCCCAGTAGAAGTACTTCTACCACCGCTACTCAGAAACCTTCCCTTTCTTCTCCTTTGGAAGAGGTGAACCTTGGTTCCTTCTGTCGCAGCAGCTCCACCTCTCCTCTGGAAGATGACATCCAGTCTCCGACAAGTATGGAAGTTCTAGTCCCGGAAGGTGAAGAGCAAGAACTGTCTTCCATCATAGAAGGTAAACTCAAGTTTCTACATTTTAGATTAGGATAATTTTGCATGAAGGAACCCCTTTTTACGATACGTCCCTATCGCATGGCTACTTTAGTCTAGCATGAAGCATACATAGGATAGCAAAATGCAAAGATTTGCATGATTGGTGGAATGAAATTGCATTTGCTCTTAGAGTTGCAGAATAGAAAATTTGAAGATTAATTTCGGCAAGTTTAGGTTATGTTCCTGTACTGTGTGTGCTACCACGTCACCTGCACGTCCTCTAAATTAGCACTCTCTTCCCTTTTCCCTTTCCTTTTCTTCTTCTTTATCTAACATAGATGATGCAAAAATAACAGAAGATTTCGAGAAACAGGATCGTCATCAGTACCATTCCGACCAGCATGTGCAGCTGCATCAACCGTCGCGCGGCCATCATCACCCACTGATGGAACAACCTCAACGTCCTCCTCTGCAGCGGCAGTCTACTCTGCCGTCGTGCTGCAGCAGTGACCCTTTGTCTCAGCAACCGCAGGAAGATGTATGCGCGAATCTTTTCGCCGGTTTACAACCAGGTTCCTATAGTCGCGGAATAGCAGAGGGCACGCTACGGCGACCACAGTCTCTCTGCCTTGTTCTTCTTCACTTGCCCTGCATGTTTTGTGCACGTGCCCTTGCACCACCCCCAACTGATAATTCCTTTAGTAATGGCCCCACCCGTATGACCTGTGTCTCTGAACCCAGCACACCGGTCAGGGAGTTGGTCTGTTCTTCATACGAACCAGGTTCTTGTTGTGGTGAACCCGTGAATCGTGTAATCAGTGAACCCACTCGCAACTTTTACTTGACTAATCTTGGTTCCAATCCAGGACGCGGACCATCTGTGAATACCACTACGACAGAGGATAAAGGAACAACCCAGGAGGCAAGTGGCACCACCCCGAGCAGGAAAAAGAAATCTGCCGCTGGAGGAGCAGGAAATGTGACCACAAATGAGGGACACCTCAAGTGCCACCGACCAAAGTGTACCAAGAGCTTGCCAGTGGAAGAGGCTCGGGCCAAGTTCCGCACATGTCCAAATTGCTACACTTACTACTGTAGTCGACAGTGCCGGAAACTCCATCTAGCCCGTCATAAGGATCATTGTCCTCAGACGCGAATCAGCAATCTATGTAAGCAAGTCCTCATGAAGGCCAGAGACGATCCAGTCTCCAGAAGACATTTGTCACTGTGTGCAAAGAGAGGACTTCTTTCTAGAGGAAGAGGAGCAGTTAAATTACTCTTTCTTAATCCAGAAGACGCTCTAGATTATTTAGTTCATGGCTGGGAAAGTGCTAAAGGTCAGACTTTATATGTGTCAAGATCCGATCTCTTGCCTCAAGAGATGGGTTCTGACGTTTTCAGTCAGGTGAGAAATTTTTGTGACAAATATAATCCTGAACGCAAATTTATTCTTCTGGCAGCCATTACCGTCACAAATGAAATCGCAGCCGCTCTTGAGAGAGAAGTTGTAGTTCGAGGAGCAAAGATGCACCTCTCCCCGTCCTTACCGGAGGACGATGTCCAAACTCTTATCCTTACCATCACTAAGACCGATCCTCAGACAGGAGATCCGGCTCAGACTACCATAGAAGACAGAAGAAAAGGTCTCAGCATCGTCATAGAGCAGCTTTCTACCAGGGGAGTTGATTTGGAGAAACTATATCCCCACACTTATCGCAAGATTTTGAGGTATGTTGAAGAAAATGAACCATTCTCACCTATTAGCATCTTCCCGACGGACCAGAGGAATGGACGAGTGTTCATGTGCATCATTTTGCCTTGGGCTGACGCAGATATTATCGTCAATATTTCTTCAAAAGGGGGCGCAAGCACAGCTAAATCCTCTAAGAAAAAATGGATTCTCTAACACTCAAAATATTACATACCAAAATGAAAAACATTTGCAGAATATGAAAAGAAAAACTTTGTTCTTCTTTCTTCGTTCGTTTTTCAAACTCCTTTCTCTGTCGTCCATATCTTCACGTTATGAACTGAGGTTCCGTAAAGTTCTTACGATAGCTATTTAGTTGTTCCATTTGGAAATTGATCCAAGCTCTCGAAAATGCTAATAAATGCGGCAGCGTAACGAGTCATGTTTTGAGACTATTTTATATTTGAAGTAATTACTCGGAATTTTTAAATATATTATTACTTTCCATTCTACATGTTTGAAACAGGTATAGTGTACTCTCGATTATCCGGGCTAATGCCGAGAAAGCAAGTCAAGGATGACTGAAAAACACGGATATCCAAACTATCAGTTTTTATGCATGTTGTACGTGTTTATGTCTTTAAAAAAATCAGTAATTTGTTTTTGACAACGTTAAAATACTTGTTGAATTTCACTGCGTATTTTTCAAAGAAGAATTTCGACCCGTTTAGTCGACGAAGTACTACAGAGTATAGAGTTTGACTTGCTGTGGAAATGTAAACTAGTTTCAAACACCTAAAAGACGTGAAGCGAATTATCTCTGGGTCTGAAACAGCTACAGAAACTCGAAAAGATTTTTGAACAACCTTTTTATTCAACAGAACTTAGAACATAAATGCACTTCTTGTGCTCATAGAAATCAGTTACCACTTGTGGCAATGCAACTAAAATAACAGTCAAATTCAAATTAGAATGTAGGCTAATAGTCAAAGACAAGTAAGTTTAAACTGAAATTGACTCAAAACTCTAACCAGCATAACAATTTAAATGTCGGCAACAAATAATGCAAACCCGAATAATTACAAACTTATCAAAGATTGCAGAAATTTGGGTTCAAGAGGCAGAAACATTCTCTGTCTTATGTTTCAAAAATCACAGCTTAAATACTGTCTAACTCATTTACGTTTCTGGTGAAGAAATGGAAAGGAGAGGCTATAGTAAAGGTTGAAATTATAAATAAGTGGTTAATGCAAAATAATAGTAACCTTATAAGAGTTGCAACTGAAGTCTTTGCTGTCTGAGAACTAATGCAATTGTCAGTATCTTCTTCGCTTGCATTTTTAGTATCTCTCTCTGCTTATTCTGTTCTTTTGACATTTGAAACGATATCTGCAATCACTTAAGCATTGAAAGCCCGGTTTAGTCGAATCGCCATCGAACCATTCCTCGATATTTTCTCTGTCGACATTTGGTTTGGTTTTCTTTGTTTGATTATGGCAAAACACACAAGGGATGTCTGCCTAAGGGAAGGGATGCTTTCGGAGAGGACTTTCTAATGGAATTAACTTACATACACATTACACATAGGGAAAATCACGAAAACGCCCATTCAGCCGGAATTCGAATCGCGGACTGAACTATCAGTATTCAGCGACTTTACTACTCTGTCGCTGGACATTTTCGAAGAACTCTTAATTTTTAATTATTGGCATACAACTTTAATTACTGCCTTGATTTCTCTACAATTAGATTAATCTTTGATTTCTGTATTAGAAAAAATCTTTCTCCGCGATCGAACGATTTTCAAAGGCTTTACTTTGAGCTACTCTTTATATGGAATCCAATACCGGTTACTTTTGCTAGAATTTAATTAAATTCTTTATTTTATCTGGAACTGTACAAAGTAATCTTTGAAATTAAACCTAAAGTTGCAGTTCAGGGAATTTTAGAACAGGATCGGAATTGGGAGTTTGTTTTAGTTACTCTAGCGCATAGCGATGAGTATGCGTTCGCATCACGCATTGATAATCCGCACCTGGATGATCGAGAGTACAAATTATAGCTTGGACTGCCGAGTACTTAAAGAAATGAAATAAATTTAGTGTAAAATCCTATAATATTTCGCATGTGAAATATTTTTTAAATATTGTAGAACAATTAACTAATGAAAACACATAAAATATTATTTAGAAATCTGACCAATTTCAAAGCTCCTTGCGTTAACCGCAATTAAAATAATATTAAAAATAGAAAATTATAAATCTTATTTCAATTTTCTTACTTCTAGAAAACTCGATTTCTGCCGAATGCACGCTTGTGTATTACAGCGTTTTTATGAGCGATTTTATTGCGAGGAGCTTAAACTAACAAACGTATTTTAGTCTTCATTCTGATTTTAGTTGCCTTGAATAGGATATAAGAAAGCAAACTGTAGAAAAAAGATATACCGAAAAAATTCTTTAAATGAATCTTAGGATTTGCAGATATAGATGTGGTGTCGTTACGACTGCTACATTTTAAAAGTTCTATTCTAATGCTGGTGCTTTGTTGCAAGACCGATGAATTGAATTGCATTTAATTGAATTAACTTGTTATGTTAATTATTATTACAAAATGATGTATTTGGTAAAACGAAGATGTAAATATTTAACATTAGTTTTGTTGTGACTTGATAATTTTTTAAGTAATATGCTGGATTATCGGGATAAGTGTTATTAAAAACTCGACATATCAGTTGGTATGTGATAAATTAGAAACACATATAAATTTTGTTTCTTCTATGCAAAAGTTGATTTTTGTGTTGATTAGTAGTATTAGCAATAATATAACCTTCTTGCTCCTATACCAGCTAAGCATTTTAAATATTCTTGTTTACGAGCTGTGCATTTTGCTCTTGAATCCAAGAACTTTGAAATAAGTTCTTTTAAAATCAACATCTTTTCGTCATTAAGCGCGAGCTGGATAAAGTAGTTTATATACTCAGCACAGATTTTCCTTCTTCGTTAGGATTTTAAAAAATCATTGCTAGAAATCTTAAATGTAACTTTTTAAACGGAATTTTCAGTATCGAAAGAAATTATCAGATATTCTCCGTAACAGTAATCAATTATAGCGATTTGAAACAAGCTTCATATCATCCATATGTAAGTCACAATTTAAGCATTTAACGTAGCAAATTCGTTATTTTTATTATGGTCTTTACGTGTGGCAAAGATGTACTGAATTTTCTAGCGTATTACCCCTGTTGTTTTCACTAAATTTATCGTCCAAAAATCGAGAGGAGAAAATTATGCTTAATTTAAAGTCCCAAATACCGGTTACAGTAAGAACAT